CCCACTCTCTCTCTTCCGCCTTTCCCTTTCAAGCATCATCTACTGGCGAATTCATTCCACCCACTTCTCGCTATTCGACCTATGACGGTAACGAACACCAGCATCCCCGCAAGAATGCTTTACCATTGAATTGTCGTTTTTTATTTTTCCTCTTTATTTTTTTCTATCGGGGAGGGGTTGGGGTGGAAGTGAGGTAAAAAAAACCTCAACTTCCACCTCCGGGTTAGGACACTGGATACTAATGGACAAAGTGTACAGAGCTCTCCGCCCCCCCCCCCCCCAAAGTCACTGAACGCCAGTCTTTTTAAATTGGACTTAGAATTTTACGGCACTTGCAACTCAATAGGGACACATAAGCCCCGAAGATTAGAGGTGTTACAAGAGAGCAACAAACCCAGAAAAGAAGGAGAGAGAGATAAGGACGATAGATGTTTGATAGGAAAGAGGGAGCAAACCACACCAGTGCACCCGCCAACCACCCACTGAACGCTAGTCCAGGTATTCAAACGCACACAGATGGTCAGACGCAGACGCAGAATGACTACGATGCTAATACTAGCTGGTCAAGAAAACATAAAAATATTCTACCATTTTGAAAAAAAAAATGTGCACCATTATTAAATTTTGTTTCGATTAACTGCGTATTACGTAACACGATATTATTTCGAGCCAACATCAAACGGTCGCTACGGGGTGAAGCTAAACGGGGGGGAAAAAGGTCTTCGCTGTAAAGTCCCTTCGTAAAATTGGATCCTAAAAGATTTCGTGTTCACTTTAGAATTGATCAACGACCCGCAAACGGTAATATTATTCCATTGAGGGGTCAATAGCTCGCTGGGCAGACGTATTTTTAAAAGGTGGTTCATTTGAGAACGGCTATAAGAAGTCTCCATTGAGGCAAATTCATTCAGGTCGCCCCCTCTCTTGATTCCCACACAGACAAGGGTATAACGTAAGTGGAATAAAAGAACAGAAAAAGTCAGCTAGGTGTAGCAGCGCTGAATTGAAAATTTCCCTGACCTCAGTGTACAGAATGATGAAACGTGAATTAGATCTAGAGTCTAGATCTAGGTCCAAACACACATCGCATTCAGACACAATGATAGATAGCCAAGGGAGACCGCAGGGGACCT